AAAAAACACTTAAAAAACGCTTTCAGTACGGGTTGAATACGAGAGAATTGAACCAACAGATACGCAAGAATACCAAAGTTTCCGAGCGGCTGAAAATTCTACATTGTGCGTGCAGCTTTCGCAGTACAAATTTGATGGTTATTACCAAAACAAAAATTAAATTATATCTCCAAAACTTGCATAGAAGGCAGCAAAGAAGTTGACTTTAAAGACACGTTCAGCATCCTCTCCAGTCAGATCCAACAGGTATTTTCCATTTACAATCCCAGCATTGCTAATCACTATCGTCGCTCGGCCACAAGTCATGTGGAGTTTGGATGCACATTCACGAATATCTTCAGAGGAGCTGCGAAAATTTCTTGAATCAACATGCTATCTTACCTCAGATCAATGTGTTCCAGGTGCATTCTAACCTTACTGGCTTGAAACACCAGTTCCGCGGTCTCCTTCAGACTGTCCAAATTCTTGTCCCATCCGATTATGTTGTCGCAGTGTTTTGAGAGTTCGACCGAAAGAAGCCTGCCCAGACCACTGCCTGCGCCCGTGACTAGAATTACTTCGGTACGTAGGTCTTTCAGCTGCTTCGGAAGGTTACAAATCAGGAGCCAGATCAAAAGTGAACATAATGCTATGCCCAATAGCACGGCGATCATTGCCACTGATTTGTCGCTTACTTCTCGTGAAAGTTTAAAGCTGAAAGGAAAATGAGGTAATTGGAGTAAAAATCCGAAGGTTTAATTGAACTCTACAGGGAAAAGATTTCTTACTCGTATAAAAAATGAAGCCCCAATTCCTCGTAGTAAATACATGTAACAGGAGATGTTTGCGAGGGGAGGGAACAAGGACCTTTAGGGCTATTTAATAACAAATTCACTGTCGAATCTCGAGAGATTACTCAAAAGTGTACCAAGGACATTGAAATGTAAGGGGGCATGAAACTTTCGAGAAATAAAAATCAGAAAGATGAGTTAATTGATTCGTCTTCAACACTTTTAAAAACAAGATAGACGTGCTCAATCTAAAGAACTTTGTTTTTGATAAGAAGTAGTTTCGATCACCGTAATCGCAGTTTTACATAACTGGGATGCGAACCCTTGCCTCAATTCGTGAGAAATTTGTTTTTTTTT